CTGCATCACGGCCGGACTGCTAAGGAACATGCTGCTTTGAGAGGCCATCTTCATGTGGCTGAAATACTGAAGTTTTAGTGCACAAATCAAAGCTCATTTTTTTGGAAGCTGGCATCAACCAATTTTTTTTTATGACTTGTCGTCCTCAAAGCGTCTTTCGTGCTGTTTCTGATAAATTTATGGTGGAATCAATTGAAGAACAGGATAAACTCGTCCTATTCTACACGCCAGCGGCGCAGTCCAAAACACAATAGTATATGCGATGAATTATGATTCATTATCTCAATAACAGGGTGGTCTATGGCGACTTTTCCTTGCAGGTGAATGCTTTTAAAGGTAAATCTCTCCTCTCTGAGGAATTGAGAAAATGCAAATGACTGTAGGAAATTTGCATTTTGAGCTTTCAGCAACGTAATTTTCAATACCACACGTTTCAGCTTTTCAATTTCACAAAATTACAGCGTAGCGTTTAAAGTCCTTGTCGATAGTTATCGAATGACAATGGAAGCAATTTAAACCGTGATTGTTGAGATATAAGTGAAGAAGACATCGCAAGCATCGTGTTGTTCCAGGCTGCGCTCGCTTATGCGTGCCTTGGAATGCATGAAGCCTCCAGTGAAACGAGCCCTCAGCGCTAAGCAACTGGACACTCATGCACTTTAAGTAATCATGTCGACGAGAATCACCAAGCGAAAACGTGCGAGGAAGGCATGCATCCCTTGCCACCAGCGCAAGCGAAAATGCGACGGCGAGTTTCCCTGTGGCACGTGCACCACCTACGAATATAACTGCAGTTACACTGGGGACGACACCAGTGGCATTTTGGGAGACGGCATCCACGCTCCACTCCAAGCCGAGCGCGTCACCATCGGCGGAAGTAGCATAGGGAACCAGACTGCCGCCACATTGCGGAGTCCGGACCGCCTGTCTTATGTAGCGCGAGATCCCCGCGGGGTCGACGGCTCGTCGACGCAGAGTCATACTGTCGCAGCCGGCGCAGCCACCACCACGTCCGCCGGCATCTTCGACGAGCAAAAGTCTAGATACGCTGGGGCATCTGCGGCCATGGTATTCCCGCACATTCTGAGCGTGGCTCTTGGCTCTGACAGCCCTCCCAAAATGCACTCTTTCGCCTACAACTTTGGCATCCGCCCCGAGGAGGCTTCTAACGCTCATGGCTCGCTGAGGAAGCTCATCTCCGAGGACGATCTTGGCTTCTTCTCGGGTGTGTACTTCTCGGCGATGGCCCCTATCGCCGATTACATGGACCCGAGAATCTATGCCCAGCGATGTCGGGATTACTACCAGGGCTCCGGCAGCAACGCGGTCGCCTTTGGCGCCGTGGCCGCGGGCGTTGCTGCTCTCGGGTCATTCCTATCCCCCAATAGTCACCCGCGGGAGTCTAACCTGGTGCAGTATGCTAAAGCCATTCTCGATGATCCGTCCTCCATGCGCATGCTGAGCATCGACCACATCATCGCGTGGGGCATGCGAGTGTTTTACCTACGGGCCACGACCCGCCCTAATAATGCCTGGGTTGCGTCGTGCACCGCCATGCACCTCTGCGAAGCGGTCGGGCTACACGACGAAGAAAACATACAAAAGATGGCGTCCACCGCCGGCGCCGCTATCCTTGGACATGATGCGGACCGATTGAGGCGAATTTTCTGGATCTCGTGGGCCGGGCACAACATGCTGTCCTATGAGTACGATCGTTCGTCTGTACTGTTTAGGGCCGTGACTTGCCAGGCTATCCTCCCGACATCAGGATCCGTGGCCGACCAGTTCGTGCAAATGGCCCAGATCATCCCGGCGCCGAACTCTCCATTCCACCTCGAATTTCAGCCTTCAATTCCAAGGGAGGAGCTATCTGAGCGTCTCAGAGCATTGGATAGGCTCCATTTCACACATCCGTTCCTGGTGGTGACTAAGGCGGACCTCGCGTTTTGCTTCTATCGACGCATTTACCAGCTCAAGATGGGCATATCGGACGAGATCATTCAGCTCGTCATTGAGAACGGCAACGCCGCAGTGGAGGCGGCGGAGCAGCTAGCTAACCAGGGTCATCTGTTTTGGAACCTCATCGGCAGCGTCTTCCAATATACCTGCGTCCTGTTGGCCATCGACGCGCCGGCCGCCTCCGTCCACATTGCTGCCGCCTTCAAGGGGTTAGAGAATCTGGTTTACGCTGCCGACACAGGACTGACGCGTAAGGCATTGTCGATGGCGCAGCATCTGCTCAGTCTCAGTATGGCAAAGAAGCGTAAGGAACTTGCCCAGATGGAAGCTGTCGAGGCGAGCTATAAATCCCTCCAGGCGCAGCCGGAATCCGAGGCCATCGCCACTGTGCAAGACATGGGCTGGGGGGAGGACTGGGACCAGTTCCTCATTGAACCATATTTATCTATGCTCGGTCCTGACATGCAATTGGCACAGGGGCAATTGAACATGTATTAACTCCATTCAGCGAGGGATCAACATGCAATTCATCAAACCATCATGTGGCATCCTGAAATGGTCTTGTGAAACTCAGCGTTGTGATTATATGGATTGGCGATAGAATGGCTTCCAATACCCATTTGTCAATCCTTTGAGGCGCAAAGAAGCTTGCTTAAATCCGTGCCCCTTCTTGGATTTTCATTCCCATCGTCTTAACGTTGCGGAGACATGCTCGGAGCTCCATCAGTCCGTAGTTGAAAGATCACTGCCTTGGTGCGGCTTAGTGGGGTGCGGCTGCAACGGCTAATGCGGAATGGATCACCCGGCGCCCATCGACCGCTGCCAGACCGTGTGAGTGTAAGTGCCAGTGTCATCGTACTATATCTTGCACGAACTTATTAAAATATGATCAATCTTGACCATTTACGATCTCCATAGCAGTGGGGCCTTCCCAACAGTACTCGCATCAGTGACGACGAACCAGCGTTTAACGGCTGCGGCTGTGGCTGCGGCTGCGGCGGCGATGACGGCGACAACGATCGTTGATTGCATTGCATCGCGTCGTGGCTCCCGGACGCCATTATCTCCGGGCGAATCAAGTTTGAAGCTACGGCCAGACTAAGTCGGACATACGACATTGAGAACAGGTGTCCGAAATTTCCGAGTCCGACCATAGAGATAGAGAGAATCAAGACTGAGTCTTGAAATGTTATAAATAGACGGGCATTCTCTGTTTCAGGGACAAGCCACACGCACACAAGCCAGCTACAAAACTTCGATTACCCACAATCGCAGCAGTTGACACATTTCAATACTCAATTTCGGATCTTGTTCAAACTAGCCAAAATGCTCCAGTACGCCAAAGACCAGCCCGCCGGCTTCAAGAATGCTATCGAGAGAATCGCCATAGTCGGTGTAAGTAAGCCCCTCAACAACAGGGCGTACCCAGCAACACTAACAAACACCCGTAGGCTGGAGGTACCATTGGATCGCATATTGCTGCTGCTCTCCTTCAAACCGGAAAACACACAGTGACAGCTCTCTCCCGCAAAGACAGCAGCAACAAATTCGCCGATGGCGTCCTCGTCGCCCCAATTGACTACGACGATGAGGCCACCATTGTCGCCGCTCTCAAGGACCAGCAATTTCTAATCATCACTATGGCCCCCACAGCGCCCCGGGACACTCATAGCAAGCTCGTCCAGGCGGCTGCCAAAGCTGGTGTTCCCTACGTCATGCCCAACAGCTACGCCGGCGACATTGACCACATCAAATTCGGGCAAGATACGATTCTAGGCCCCGTGGGCAGTGCCCAAAGGGGCGAGATCGAGAGACTCGGTATGCAGTGGATTGCTGTGTGCTGTGGGTTTTGGTACGATTACAGCCTGGCAGGTGGTGAGGCGCGCTTTGGGTTCGACTTTGACAAGCGTTCCCTGACACTCTACGACGATGGCAACACCAAAACCTCAACGTCAACGTTGTCGCAGGTTGGGCGCGCCGTGGCCGACCTTCTGAGCCTCAAGAAGCTTCCCGATGACGAAAACGACAAGAGTCTTACCGTCTCCGGGTTCCTCAACAAGGGCGTGTACATTAAGAGCTTTGTGGTCAACCAAAATGACATCTTTGAGAGTGTAAAGCGCGTCACGGGCACCACTGATGCCGACTGGACGGTCACCCACGAGGCCACCAAGAAACGATACGAGGAGGGCCTGGCGCAAGTTAAGGTTGGTAATATGGCTGGTTTCAGCAAGATGCTGTACGCCAGGGCGTTTTACCCGGAAGATCCGAGTGAGTGCTTGGCTAAAGCGCAGAATGACCTGTTTGGGTTGCCGGAGGAGAACCTGGATGAGGCTACCAAGGCCGGGGTGGATATGGTCAAGGACCTGCAGCGTCGGGTTGAGCGTATGGCGTCATAGACAATAGCATCTACAGAATTTTAATCATTCAATACACGGACAGTAAGACTCGAATTACAGCAGTTTTGAAGATCATTGTTTAAAAGGCTATTTACTTTCCTTGGAGAGGATCTCAACCTGGTAGGGAAAGGTGCTATTTCTATCACCATGGATTGTGCTCTCTGCTGTACTTCTCATTCGTTCTCAGGCTCAAATTGAACCTAGTTTCCTCAGCTAGTGTGGGCTTTACAGGGATAGTGATAATCTGAGAGACAAGTCAACATCGTCTCCATAATGCATCTCAATTTACGGAGCACGAACTGTGGTAACACTTTTTCCTACTAGAATGGAACTTCGAGGATGAGATGGCCTTTTATTTTTATACTAGGCTCTAGCTTCAGATCACGCAAGTTCCACAGATTACAGTCATTTAGATTTAGACGTGGACGTGGACGTAGACGTGGACCTAGTACAACTATGACTTTGGGTACTTAGAGTAGTACTGAGAGTAGTGATGCCAAGACTAGAGGACGGAGGCTTTTACGCCTTATGTATCTTAATTTGAAAAGGACAGAAGTGCCACAGTATCATGGTGTTCAAAATTACATGGCTTAAACAAGACATACATAAATCCCAAGCACAGTCATGAGAATCTTCTCATCTCCCAAGAGAAACTACACATCACCCAAAGGTTGTTCCTGGGCTACTAGGAAAGCTCTATAGAGACAATCGTTGTTATGATATCAAATTGCAACTTATCGCGTTGACCACGTGTTTTGGGATGGACCACTCACTGGTGGAACACGTTAGCATAATTCTATTATTTTCATAGAAAAATTAGGGCCCTAGAACTAAAAATTCAAAGACCTAGAGACGAGAATTGTTCTTGGCCTTAGCTTCTAACAGCTGACCAAGACGGGGATCGACCTTGCTGAACATGGCAGTGACAGCATCCTTGAGCTGATCAGGTAGGTCTTCTAAAGTCTCCGACACATTTGATACCCACTGCCTTCTCTCAGCCTCATCAAAGACCCTGTTCCACAGGTCTCGTGGCTGAATGAAATCCTCATCGTCAACTAGGATCTCATTATGGCCGAGAACAGCGTTGCGCAAGATGCGCTCAGTGTGTCGTACGTTGGAGACAGTCTGGCTGGGGACGCCAGGACTCAGTGAGCTCCGCACATAGTTGGGATCACCACCATAGTTTCGGGTCACGGTTCCCATACCGTCGCGCTCGAATGGTGCGTATACTGGGCAAATTGCACGGTTTGGAGGAAGCTGTGTATAGTTCACTCCGAGACGGTATCGCTGGGCGTCGGGGTAGGCGAACATGCGCGCCTGCAACACTGTACACACAAAAGTAATTAGGATCCGATCTTACTTGGACGATTAAGTCGGTGTGAACTTACTAGGGTCAGGAGTCATTGCAATGCCGGGCACCATATTCGAAGGTGAAAATGCCGCTTGCTCGATCTCGGCAAAATAGTTCTCCGGCTGGATCTGTTGTTAGCGTTTGCTTCATGTCTCAGATCAAGAGTCACCCACATTCTTGTTAAGAGTCATTTGGCCAACTTCGATCAAGGGGAAATCCTTGTGGGGCCAAACTTTGGTGATATCAAACAGAGCACGGCCGTAGGTTTCAGCCTGCTCGGGCTCCATGACCTGCACGTAGAGTTTCCAGGCCGGCAACTCTCCTCGAGCAATAGCATCCCACAAATCCTGAGTGTGGAAGTCGGCGTTTGCGCCAGCCATGCGCGTAGCTTCCTGATTAGAGAAGTGTGTGATACTCTGGGTCGGCCGGAAGTGGAATTTGCAGTATCGGAAGCCACCATCAGCTGATACCATCTTAAAGGTGTGTATACCGAACCCTGTCATTCGGCGGATGGAATCAGGAATCCCCCGATTGCTAAAAAGGTGCATCAGAGCATGAACACTTTCGGGTTGGTTCGCGTGGAAATCCCAGAACTAAACGGTTAGCTTCATCAAAAAAAATGGTTACCGGACCCTTGATTTTAGTACTCACCATGGTCCAATCCTGTAGGTTGGTGGCAGGATTTCTCTTATGGCTTCTGTTGAGAGAGGGAAACCTCATAGGATCGCGAACAAAGAACACAGGCTTCGGGGACATTAGCAATATGCAATGCTAGAGTCGACGATGATCACTTACAATGTGGTTTCCTACAATATCGTGATTACCCTCCTCTGTGAAAAACTTGACAGAGAAGCCTCGCACATCACGGACAGTGTCTGCACTACCCTTTTCACCACCGGTAGTGCTTGCACGGAACAAAACGGGGGTTTTCTTGCCAACCCCGTTGAGGAACTTGGCCGATGTGAAGGAAGAAATGTCATTTGTAACCTCGAATTCTCCCCAAGCGCCTGCAGCTTTAGCATGAACGACTCTGTCTTCCGTTAAAATCGCTTTCCCTGCCAAAAATCTCTCTTCAGATGATCTCAAACCTTTCGGGAATGCGTTCGCGGTTGAAGTGCGAAAGTGTCTCAATGAGTAGCGTGTCACCCAGTGTCGTGAGGCCGCCGCCGCCAATAGTAGGCAACGTTGTACTGACCGATGGGTCTGCAATTGGCTGGCCTATCTAGTGTCAGAATAGGAAGAGTTGTTTTCTTTTATTTGTTACGATACCTTCTGCAAATGTAAAGGTACGGTTCGCCATTGGAATTATTTAGAAAATTTCCACTTTTATTTGGCTACTGTCTTCTGGGAAATGGCCTTTTATTACACTGGTCCCAGGGGTGGGTCAAGACCTTGAAACTACCCCCCATGAGGGAACCCCCAATTGAAAGGTTCTCGTGAGGTGAGGGGATTGAGACCCGAATGATTTGCCAAAGGTGGATTCTCAACAACCCGCAGATCGCAAAAGTCGGTCACCGAGTTGAGACTGTCCCGATAACAATTGCCGCAGCTCTGATTGGCCAGAAATGGTGACTGCCTCGTGCGGGGGGGGGGTTCCCCTCACGAGGGGTCGAACACGTGTTGGAGATTACATCTCTTCTACTGTGGGATAACATGCAAGCCTTCTATCAGCCCTACCAGTTCAGAATTCAAGGATTTACTCTAGTCCTGATTTTTCTCGTAATTCGACAAGAACGGCAAGAATTCTTTGGGCTGGAAATATCTTGTGATGAACAATTCTTTTTGGTCGGAGCCTACACCAGCTACCCCTCTACTTATGCTCAGAAAAAATCGCCAGGTGAAACGGTTTCTCGCACAAGCCAAAGCCACCACAATGCCTCTAATCGACTACTCAAAATGGGACAATCTTAACACAGATTCAGACTCGGGCCCAGAAGCAAGCGCAATACCGCGTCCTCACGTGTCCAAGCCCACTGTGCCTCCTACAGCTACCAAGAATACAGCCTCCAACTAGATTCCCTCTTCTCCAGCACCCTTTTCGAAAGATACAATCCAAGCGGTAACAGTCCGATGCCAGAGTGATAGCGGTCTCCCATGGCCGGCAATTACTGTCCCCTCGAACCACCTCATCTTTAACAAGCGTGCCCCGCCAGTGCCGGCTTTTCTCAACTTCCCCCATTGTCGTCCACCGGGTTGGAACTCCTGACAAAGGCACATTTGCTAACCTCGACAACTAGGCCATCACATACATCCACATAACCACGGAGACCGGTCTTGCGCCTCCCGAGTGACAGAGTGGGATTGGTACTGTGATCGTCACACGCGAAGACAAGACTCCAGGGCACTACGAGGCAATCTAGATTTACTGTTGATTGCATTCTCGATTACTGTGGGGAAGGAGAAGGAGCACCTACGTATTTGTACAGCCGACAAGCATTCGGTGGTTCGTGGGCTACCAAAAAGAGCAATTGCGATTTGGACGTCAGAAGTGGCGCTCAGTCCCGCCGTTGTATGAGGAGTGAACTGGAACTCAACTAATATGCGTGAACGGGGCCGATTGCGAAGTGGCATTGCTAGCCCAATTTCAAGTGGGTAGGAATTTGAAAATACCTGAATGAATTTGATAGAAACCTTGATAGGTAAAGTACCTAAGCTCTCTAGAACTTCTTTAAGAATCAGCCGTGAAATGAAGCTTCTTATACAGGGAAAAACCAACGATCACCAGATTCTCAGGTTTTTTACAGTCTTAAAGCTCCATCTCCACCATTTAAACTCCTGTAGTTGAAAACATCGGGCCAACAATGAAGCTATTCCTGCAGTGTAAATCTCTAAATGTATCTACTTCTAGGCGTTTACACTCAGTAAGATACCATGACTTGGGTCAGAGTACTGAAGAAGTATGCAAAGCAACCAGCAAGTTTTGTTTACCTGATGACTACTCTATACCGCAAAGCATCCGACAGAGGTTGCATTTGAGCGAGAGAAGGAAGCAGTGGAGTCTTTTGAAGGATTGCGCTACAATATTGACTCGAGTGCAAGTCGTTCCAGTGTCTTCCGCAAGAAGAATAGGTAATTAACTAGGCCCAGGGTTCAAACTTTGCCTCCGTAGAATCTTAAATGATCCGAAGCCATTTCGAGGTATACGGATAAATCTCAGCAGTTATTCTACGTCTTACAAACATTTGCTAAGCTCCCACAATTCCTTTAACTTTGCCTCATCAAATTCCCAACAGCCGTATCCATACTCCAGTCCATCCGCGCCCGAAGGAGCCGGTTGGGCTGCTATAGATGCTCCTTCCAAATACAATCCGTCTTTCCCTTCTAGTCTGCTGAAGACAGAGGCACAGATAGCCGTTGCGCCAGCCTGTTCAACAGTAGTCAAATATGCCAGGGCGCGCTTGTTCTCCATCATTGCTTTCATTTCTTCCGGGGATTGTTTCTGGGTTGGGGCTCATGAATGTTTCAGGATGTAAGCTATAGCCATTTAAAGCCCGGATGTCGACGAGCTCAAGTTGAACTGGGTAGACTGATGTCTTATACCCAACTTTGCTCGTTACCTTTGGCAGCGGTAGACGTGTGTCTAAGGATAAGAACCGAGAATCGATGGCAGGAGTATTTGGACACCAATTAGATTGAAATTGTTCCCCCCTCCCCTCTGAGCTTGTCAATCAAGGAATCAACCTAGTAATGTAGATCGTGAAATTGGTAGAGATAGGGCTAGTACTGTTGAATTTGTACTAGGAGGTTGTGAGAGAACAGAAGAGTGAGTAGCTAAGTACAGTATAAATAGCATAGCCGTTGACACCCCTTCATTCGATCGACCCCAGATCTGGGTTCTCCAGACGGCACCAAGTATGTAAATTTTCCAAATTGTCTTGATTACAGCTTGAAAAGGCTCAACCGCGAGTTAGTCATGGGGTTTGGCATTATTGAAATTCTTTGAAATCTTGACAGGCCAAATTGAAGCCGGCGAGGATGGGGTCAAATAATCGAGAGAGATCAGTCTCGGTGTACCAATGCGAGAATAGTTCACGCCGCCTTTCCTCGTCCTGTGTGGTGCGAGCGAGACGATCTATTTGTAAATCTGTGGTAGTTATTCGGCCCAGAGTGACAGTCATGTGGACGTCCCAAATATTTATGACCACCCAGATTGTATGACCGACAAGACTGTTATTTTGTCTCTCGCACCTAATTCCGACTGACATGGTTCGTCCGGTAGCGAGGCCAATTTCCTTTGTATCACGAACTGCTGCTACAAGCGCATGGCACTCTTCGACAACTCTACCACTGATTTTCAAAAACGATGCACATGGCAGACTTGCTTGAACTATGGCGGTAATGAAATCCTATTTCCCCAGGACTGCGAGTAACTCGGCATCTGTATCGCTACATTCAGCCCCAGGATCATGGATGGTCATATCAGCTATGATAAGGAGAGAATCGTGGTTAATCCAGTTGAAGAGAAAGACAAGGAGATATTCTTGACACAGGGAGGACGAAATTGAACTAGGTCGGTCAGATGACTGTGCTTAGGGCATCAACATCCCCAATTATCCAAAGAGAGCGTGTTTATGCATAAATCTTTATACCAGCTGCGGCGATGCTCGGACGTCTTGAATGTTGTTACGATCTTTTGGCTTACCAAATAGGTACATGTGCTGAGGTCTTCAAGGCTGGACTTGTTGGCATGACAATGGATGTGACAAGAGGGTCAAACACGTGACGATAAGGCTTTCCAAGGTCACGTGGGTAGCGGAAAAGCATACCGCCGAAAAAAAGTGCCCAGACTCGCTCTAGTGATCTTAATCTTCATCAAGGTACGACACGAAAATGGAGGGGAATGCTCAGGCTCGGTACGATCCTACAAAAGGAGGGGAGCAGGTCGTCCCAGTCCTCGCGACAAAGAAGGCTGTCAGTTCTTGGGTGCACCTTCTTGCGGGCGCGTATGTCTTCTCCAGCTTGCATCACCTGTAACTCTTCTGACATTTATCTAGGAGCGGCGGAATGGCCACTGCGATAGTAACTTCGCCTCTTGATGTCTTACGAACACGTCTTCAGTCCGATTTCTACCAACCACAAATTAGGGGCTCCGATTCCTCTCACCAATCAAACCAATCATCACGACCTCTTCAACGATCAAATCATAAAACACTCCGGATTATCAGCTCCATCTATCGTGCTGAAGGGTGGCGAGCTTTCTTTCGAGGTCTCGGTCCTAGCATGGCAGGTGTAGTCCCGGCGACCGCGATCAAGTTTTACGTATACGGGAATTGCAAACGTGTCGGAGCGCAACTCATGGGACATACGGAAGACTCGGCTCTCATCCATGCTCAAGCTGCAATCTGCGCAGGTCTCGCAACTTCTACAGCAACAAATCCAATATGGCTTGTCAAAACACGACTGCAACTTGACAAAACACAAACCCACGCTGGTGGTCCTTCAACACGTCGATATCGCAATAGCATTGATTGTGTCCGGCAGGTCATGCGAAATGAGGGTCTAGGTGGCTTCTACAGAGGATTGAGTGCAAGCTATCTGGGCTCGATTGAAACGGCCTTACACTTGGTGCTCTATGAGCAGTTGAAAACTAGGCTCAATCGGTCATTAGAAGCTACCGAGGGGCCAAGGACTCCCTTCTGGAACGAAGTTTTCCACTGGGTTAGCACTAGCGGTGCTGCGTCTTCCGCTAAACTAGTAGCAGGTCTAATCACATATCCTCATGAGGTACTTCACTCCGAGTTGGTTGTTTTTGTCACACACTTACGTTCTTAGGTTATCCGAACACGATTGCGCCAGGCACCTATGGAGCATGGCCAGGCTAAGTACACAGGCCTGGTACAATGTTTCCGTACAATCGCTAAAGAAGAAGGTATGGCGGGCTTGTACGGAGGCCTCGCTCCTCACATGCTCCGTTCTTTACCATCGGCCATCATTACCCTTGGCGTATATGAATTCGTGCTGAGGATTACTGGTGCTTAAGCTCAAGCACAACTCTGTACACTATCTATAGATCTGGCTCTTATGCTTTCTGGAACGGAAAACTATCAGACATTCTTGTATCAACATTCTTGTAACATATTTGGCGTGGTTCATCTCAACTACATAATCTCATCTTTCACCCGTGGCCCCGGGGGTTGCGCTATTTTTTAGCATATTCCTTGTATGTAACTTTACAATGAAATTTTCTCTGACATTCTTCGCCTCATCGTTATCATTGGTTTATCATTACTCTAGTTGTATCGTTTTTTGTGTCAAGAATCATACCACTTCTCAGCATTCTTCGCCGAAGCAAGTCATTATTGGCCTTTGAACACGTGCTACACACGAAAGGAACGTTGGCTAAAAGACCTACAAGTGTTCTTGATTAAATACTCTGTCTACCCAAATCTTCAGGTTCCATAATGTATTGCTCGATCTGGAACTATGCACGCCGGATGCAATAATTGATCAAACCACTTTTTGTGCTATCTATATCTTGGTTTTGTAGTAGATGATACATACGACCATAGGGTGTGGAAAACAGGGCTTCCCGTCCGCTCAGCCGTACTTAAGCCACACGCCGGTGAGTTAGTAGTTGGGTGGGTGACCACCAGCGAATCCTCACTGTTGTATGTATTTTTTTCTTGGTTGGAGGAGAAATGGAGAAATAGCTGCTGTGATTATGTATTTCATAGTTTTTCATTTGATCTTTTCGAGTCCTTTTTGCGTCTATAGCCCCTATCTCCTTTATTACCATCAATGGTATAATCTCGTTTGTCAGGGTGCAGGCTGGCAGGACGGTATGATAGGAGATGACTGGTAGGAACAGGTCATAACAGATCAGATTCCACTTGACAGGTACAGGCAGGGGCAGGCTATTATACAAGACGTAGCTCGAAGAGCTACAACAGGATCTAGAACTGAAGTTCAAGATAAACAGGTCGGAGATCACGTGTCGTGATCTTCCTCTTACTAAGCATTACGGTTCACACCGTGACATCTTTGTTACTATAGAGGACACTTCTAAAATGGCTCTATAATGGATTTAAATAGGGAAGGCGCTTTGGTTATAGTAAGAAAGTAATAACGTATTGTTACGGACCTATCCGTCACCAACCAGTAGTGACCTACAAGGCGCACCGATGGGCCACCGAGAGCCAACAAATCAATCAGTCAGTCAGCATTCACGTGCGGTACGACCGGCAGAAAGGGAAGGACTGCAGGAAGGCAGCCACTTTCGGCCTGCGACAAGCAAATGGCAATTCTACTCTATGAGAACTTGGAATACCCTTGACTAGGCCTCGCCAAAACCCGCCCACCGCCCAAACCCGCCCGCGAAAACCCAGCCCATGGGCCGAATTGGGTCTTAGTCAGCAAACCCGTGGGTGGGTTGTCATCCGGGAAACCCAACCCAAGACCCCAATGGGTACCCGCGATTACCCAAAAAAGCAAAAAAAGCTGACTGATCATTTTACACTAAGTTATGCAGTAATATTCGATTATCTAATTGTTTCGATGGCGTAACTGATAGCTTCTAGCTGAGAATATTTGGAAAGGAACATGAAGAATACGACTTCGGGAGGACACTGAGAGGGTCCAAATCAC